CAAGTAGAAGGGAGGCAGGTTGTAGGTGGGGATGGGGGGAAGAATCGAGCAACTTTCCCCTGCAACCTTTCTTGCCCCCTCCCCCACTTGTCCCTGTTGCTGTCTGTCCTCCCCACTACCTTCCCAGTGGTGGGAGCAATGGAGGAAGGGTAAGTGTGTGTGTGTGTGTGTGTGTGTGTGGGGTGGGGGGCGGGGTTGGAGATGGAGAAGAAGCAGGGGAAAGACCCTTTGCTGCCTTGTACTCAATTCCAAGACAGGCTTTTTTCCTCAGGTTAAATGGGAGGGACAGGGGACCCTATCTTGGAATTGAGTAAATACAGTATTCAAATAAATTAAAGGTCAGTATTTCTCCAGCAGCAGCAACATCCTGCCTCCTAACTTGGTCTGTCAAAGAGCCTTAAAGTTTGATGTGAAAAGGGATAGATAGTATTTGTGGAAGGGAGGCAATTTTTTAATCAGACAGGCAGTGGCTTTTTATTGCTGTGATACAATATGAACCCATGGTGTGCATATAAAGGATGTGATTCATCCTTTGCAAGTGAAGATGACTGCATCCAGTGTGGGGGAAGGGGAGGAAGAAGAGAGAAAGGAAGCGGGAAAGAAAAAGGGAGGGAGAAAAGAGAAAGGGAGAAAGAAGAGAGGAGGGGGGTGAAGACTAGGTCACGTGGGTATGCAGGTGTTTATAAGCCCAATCTTTGCCCTGAATAATCTGCTACAGCAGGGGCAGGAGAGCAATGAAGGCTGGACATGAGAGGTCCTTATTTTCCTGGGCACATGCTTCCTCACTGCCTCTGCTGTGTGCCGCTGCTTGAAGGCCAGTGCTCCGCTCTGGACTGATGACCTCCAGGATGGATGGTCACGAGCGATTTGCTCGTACGACTCTGGGTCAATGCTGACACTCCAAGGGACATCTTTAGGGTGTCCTTGTACCGCTTCTTTGGTGTGCCATGAAAGCATACTCCATTTGACAGCTTGCCATAGATTTTCTTCAGCAGGTGAGTGTCAGGCATTTTTGAAAGGTGGCCAGCCCATCTTAGCTGCACCAGTTTCAGTAGGGTATGAATACTGGGGAGAGCTGATCTTCTGAGCACCTTGGTGTCCAGGCTCTTGTCCTGCCACTTGATCTTTAGTATCTTTCGCAGGCAGCACATGTGGATGTGGTTTAGTTTCTTGGCATGACACTGATAGATGGTCCAGGTTTCACGGGCGTAAAGGAGGGTTGGGAGAGCGTTGGCTTTGTAAACCTTCAGTTTCATCGACATTCTGATGCCTCTGTGGTCCCAGATCAATTTACGGAGTCTGCCGAAGGCCATGGTGGCTTTTGCTAGCCTTGTGTTGACTTTGCAGTTGATGTAGACAGCATGGAAGAGCGTGCTGCCGAGATAGACAAAGTTGTTGACCATTGACAGTTGTTGACCTTTAACTGAGACATGTGGTTCCTGGGGTGTTGTGCCAGGCACAGGTAGGCCCATATATTTTCAGCTCTATCAATATTCATGGATATGACAGGCACAGAGATAGAAACCTTGGAGTGAAGCAAAATTAATTTAAGTTGGTCTTTCTGGAGAAAGTGAGAAGTAGATTTGAATTTGCCTTTTTTTCAGGTTAATTGACATTGACAATAGCTATTCTCTTAATTATGCAAATGGGATAAGTAGGGTTTTAAAGCTTAGCTGTGAAGCTCCTGGAGATTGCAGGGTTGGGTGTCATATGCCATCTTTTCCACAGTAGCTCTGATATTAAAAAAAGCAAAACAATAACAGCGAGTACTTGTTTCTTACTGGGCTGCAATGTTATATGCTCAACTTAATGGTCTACAGCAGGATCTGGCCCCTGAAGTAGGGGCCCCAGTGCAGCTTGGCCCTGCAAGTCTCCTGCTCTGCCTTGAACCATACAGCTGATCTCCTCTGCAGCCAAACAGAAGTTCTCTTCTCTCCTTCCCAGAGACAATCCGAGCGGGGTGCAGGGCCCAGGGCAAATCAGCCTGCCCCCAGATGCAAGGAAGCCAGCGGCAGATTTGGGGGGTAGGGGGGAGTGGCAAGCGGCCAGACACGAAGCCAGCGGCAGCGCAGAGTCGCTGTGCTGCTCTGCCTGGCTCCGTGGGGCCCCCCAAAGTCTGGGGGGCCTGGGGCGGTCACCCTGATTTGCCCCTCCCCCCCTCCCCAGGGTGGCCCTTCTCCTTCTCTTACTCTTGAGATTGGTAGCCACCTCCCTTCCCTCTTTCCTTTCTCTCTCCCCTATCAGAAGGGAGTCATGGCCTGTGGTGCAGCTGGGTCACAAGCACCCCAGCCCAGTGTTCTAACAAGCTGAGCTCCTGTATATTGTCACCTGCTTCCATGGTGTGTTTTTAGTACTGAGAACATTCTTTATAGATTAACTGTAAATATGCTGTACTTCACTCAGATGACTCAGTAGATTTTCTAAGGTGACCTACCCATTATTTAGTAGAGTTTTCAGAAGGTGGTTTCAGTCGCATGCACTAAACTGAAAGAGCAATTAAACATTTCTTGTGGTTTCAGTTGGGAAGCATAAACATTGTCGGGCTCATCCAAACTGCAGGCATCGTCCGCTTCGTTTAGAAAGGTTATTTCCTTGAGGAAGAAAGTATAAGCATGATACCATTAGTCCATGTCATTTTGGTTTGTGAAAATGGCATGTTACTTTGATATGTGGGTCATGTGGTAAACTGAATAGACAGATGCAAGATTTGCTAAAACAGGAATGCCGCTTTCTTTTTCTAGGGTCATAAATGCAGGAAAGAGCACACACAATGAAGACCAGGCTAGTTGCGAAGTTCTTCATGTAAAAAAGAAAACTGGAGGCACTAGTTCCACTCCAAACAAGAATTCATCCACAAAACGAAGGTCATCACTGCCAAATGGAGAAGGTCTACAATTAAAAGAAAATTCGGTAAGCAGCTCCCCTCAATCTTGTCAGTACAGGAATATGATATAACATGAGGTGTCAAATCAAAGGAAAACCCTGAAGTTCTTGATGGTGTTTGCTTGATACCTGGCTTGACTTTTTTTTTTTTTAACTAGGCTTTAATTGAGAACACTTGACTCATTTCTTACCATCATTTCTTCTTTTTGAAACATGCTAAAAAATCTTTCACATGTAAAGAAAAAAAATCTTGTACATCATAGCTGACTTGAAAAATATATGAGAGACATGACAGATATATGTGTAAAATAGTGACGTGATCAATGGAGATAAAATCTGTTAGTTGTACTTACCCATTTTCATAACTTAAGCCAAAGAGAAGACAGTGAAATAGATAAGAGTATATTTCTACATCTAATAATTACCATATGGAACTTGTCTCCACCAGCTATTGGGATTTTGGTTTAGAAAAGGAAGCAACATTGTGGATATTTTGACAGGTACAAAATAATAAGTGTTTCGTACTTTATGACTTAATCTAATTGATCAGGGCTTTGGGTTGAAAAAAGTTCTCCTACGTGTAGATTTTGAAGTACAGCGTTTCTTGCATTGTCTCTGAAAGAAACTGGTAGGCAGGTTATTGGCTTAGATTGAGTATTAGGGTGAGGACAGACATTGCAACTGAAACATTTCCACGTGAAACAAACTTGGAAACTCTTCAAGATAGGAATGTTTCAGTCGTGGGAGAACGCTCATGCCCTGTGCTGTTCCTGTCTGGAATGTTTCAAAATACTGAAGCCTTTTCTAGCCAGGGCTGCAGCAACCCAAGGCTCTGTTCTCGGCTCCCTCCTTCCCTTCCTGTCACAGGTGTGGGAGGGAGAAGGGAGGAGAGTGCAGAGAGGAGACAAGGATGGTGGAGGTGTGGTATGGTGTGACAGATCCCCCAGATCTCTTCTTTCCTTTCAGGTATTGGGGCTGGAGGGCCCTGCTCCGACATTGATTGGGGCCCTAAGGGTCTGGCAGGAATAGTGGTGGGGAGTGAGTAAACCCAGCTTGTCTCCCATGTGCTGTTCCAAATCAGAGATGAGCAGAAGTGAAATGCTCCAAAATAGTGCTTCATTTGCAGAGGAACTATTTTGGAGTGTTTCAGCCAATTTGGGAACATTTCAAAGGGTATGTACACCTGTACAGCTGGACCTTTCACATGTTTTGTAGGTCTTTGTAATGTTTCACTTGCAAGATCTGTCCACACCCTTAGTCTGACCCAGAATGTTAACTGTTGTGCCATAGTTAACTTTGGCAGCCATAGGAGGGTTGAATAACAGAAGATAATTCTCCGAGTTTATACCCATCCCAGGTTTGGAGAGATTGTCGCTTGTCCTTCTCCTGACTGTTGCGTAGCCCCTGTGAAATAAACTGAGTTTTCAGACCAGGTTGCATGAGAAAAAGTCATGACAGGTGATCATTGACATGCTTGTTGGTAGTCTCAGCGAACTTGGGAAGTACTAACCTGTTGTGGAGACTGAGATGTTCTTCTGTTTTTGAAGTGCTGCTTTGAGGTCAGGGTTTATATGCTGTTTGTGTGCTGCAGAAAGACTCTCTCTACTCTAGCTATTGTCCTCTGGGTACATAAGTGACTTTAATCTGTGTGGTTGTCGGTTTGGCACACCATATGAGTATTAAAACTGACCAAAAACATCTATGGCTGTTTAAAATGCCTTCCATAATTCTTTACAGTCTTCCATCCAGATAATAACCTGCTCTGGTACTAATTAACTTTTATGATCTGAGAAGGAATCAAAATGGCAACACCATGATTCCTTTATGTTGACCAAGTAACTAATTACCCCTGTGGTGAGGGAAAAAAATACCGCTGTCTTTCAAAGAGAGGATTTCTTTTCTAACATAGAACTCCAGAGCAAACATTTTCAGTATTTAGCATTGTATAGATATACCTGAAGCGCATACCTACCTGTGTACGTACTAGCAACTGGAAGATTTAGTCCCTGCCCTCAAAGGGCTTACAGTTTTAAAGGCATGAACAAATACTGAAATAGTGTGTTTAGTACAATTGTAACAGAATATTAGTGTCTAGAAAAATGAAACCAGTTAGATTACAGAAAAGAGTTAAGCAAAGGAATGTCAAGGGCACTGCATATCTCCACTGGGAAGCTGCTTAGGATGTCAGGCTAGCATGTAGTAGTAATAATAATAATAATAATTGGGAGTTGGGGAAGGAAACAAATGGAGCCATGGGACAGCAATTGACCACATGTAAGGAATGATTGTGCAAGAAGAAATCAAATTAGAAGCGTTTGTTTTGTTTTTTGCTTTTTTAAGAGCTCTAAAAGTAAGCATCTGTAAGCCCATGCAAATAAGGGTCAATGCCATTTACAGTTAAACTTTGACCTGCATGGTTCTAAATACAATTGAAACGTGATTTTGTTAGAAATAGTGTTTGTCTATTTCAGTCTCCCATGCCACTTTTGTACTACTTGTTACTTGAGCTGCATTACTTGAAATTGGTCAGATGGCTTGTATAGTATCTTCTTTAATTAGACACTAAATGTTAAAAGGTAGGGTCTTACAACGTCAAGATCAGTGTTAAAAGTAGGAACAGATAGTTTTATATTTGATTTTGAGACATCTTCAAGGTATCAGGACCGTGAAGAATGACTACAACAGATAGTAGGTAGGTAAAACTAGACATTGTGAGATGTTGCTGTGTATATTTGTCTCGGAACTCTCTGATGAACATGAATTGTAATTAACTGATAAAGGGCCATCAGTACTCTGACTTGGCATTTTAACTTACTACTACATAACATATTAACTTAATAAGCGTGTTTTTCATATGCAGTTATTTTTAAGGCTTTCTAAAATGTCACTTGAAGCATCTTGACAAATTTGTCATGGTCCTGATTTTTAAGAAAGTTAACCATACAGCTGCATAGGCAAAATACCTCAGTGATTATACCCTGAATTACTATCACCACTCCTGAAGTCAATGACCTCACCACTCCTGAGGTCAATAATTTGAATATGCAAATTATCATAACTAGCCATGTAAAGATACAGTGCCTTACTTGTACATACTGTCACAGTAATTCATATATTACCACACCTTAAATTTATTTTAAAATTAAACCGTTAGTGAAGAACATGCGTTGTCATAAAGTATAGTTCTAACTTGACACGGCACAGTTAACTTGTGGATCTGTTTTTGCCTTTTTACCTACTGTGATGCTTTTAATGTCCATGGACATGAGGAGGGTCTATTCAGATCACCAGTCTTCAAATTGTTCAGTATGCTGTCTCCAGCTGGGCCTGTTACTGGATGCTTCCTGCAAAGGTGAAAGGAAATTCTCTTTTTGACCATTTTTGTAACAGTACCTAATATGAATTGCTTCATGCAAAGCTGAAAAAATCCTATGTTTTTGACAACTTATAGAACAACCTGTCTGAAGGAGACTATTTTCAATGCCTAGCTGTTAGTGGTTTTCTACCCTTATACTTAAATTCTGTCTGTCACTCATGGTTAATGAGACCATTTATCCAATGAATATCTTGTCTTTTGATTTCATAAGACAAGTTCCATAAGTTAATAACATTTTAAACATTTTTTTCGATTTTAAACATACTAATGTTGACCTAATTAAATAGCTGTTTTTTTCCTGTGTTATGAGACTTGGTTTATAATATTCTAATTTATGTATTCCATACTAGTGATTAATTTACTTAACACTGTCTTTTCAACTCTGAGGCATTTCTTTTTCAAACTAAGCAGTCTCTATTTTTTTTCAATGCTTTTATTACTCAGTTTGTTACCTGTAGCTAAATTTCAGTTGCTGTTTTGTTTGTTTGCTATATTTATTATTACATGCCTTTTGTAAAGCGCTTCTAACTGGAATATGATATTACTGTTTGCAGATTTTAAATTTCAGTATAAAATATATTAAAAAAACCAGGAAAGAATATTAAAGAAACTTTGCTACTAGAGGGCAGTCTTACTCTAGCAGTTACACAGAGCTAAAAAGATGTGTTATGCTGGACTGTAGTTATGAGAAGGCAAGACACTGCACTGCTTTTATTTATTTGTATTTATTATTTGTACTATATACAAACTATGTAAAACACAGTTTTTCTCTGTCTATATTCTGTTCCATGCACTATAAATGCTGTTGGCTGGTGCATGGAGATGGAAAGCTTTCTACAGGTATGTGCAAGTATGCAGCACTACCTGGTAAAGTTCAGTGCTTCAAGTGCAGCTGGTTGGAAACCCAACTGGATGCGAATTGTACAAGCATTCAGTATTTGGGGCAGGAACTACACAGACAGCCTGTGCTGGCAAAGGCCAGGGGGTCCCTGTTGCAAACATCCCAGCCTGTTTTACAGGCTCCCCAGGCTACCAGAGATCACCAAGGGCAGTCTGGACTGGCTGACCACTACAGGGGACCATGTTCCCCTGGGAACTCCCACACACAGTAGCCACTCCCTTGCTCTACCCAGAGGCTTCTAGAGGAGACCCAGAGAGTCCTGCCTCTTCTTAATTACAGGCATGTCAGTTGTTGCATCTGCACCCTTCTATGGCCCTGCACCTCTCTCGCATAGATTCATAGATTCTCTTCTCTTTTTTAGGCTGAAGAGCCCTGTGTCCCTCAACCTTTCCTTGGCTTGTATTGATTCTGTGGTCTGTTATTACCCCTAGGTCCCTTTTTGTCATGGTGCTTGTCAGCTTGGCGCCACCGAGCCTGTAGGTATGTTGGGAAGTGTTCATCCCAAGATGGAGCACTTCACATTTCTTGATTTTTGAACTTCATCTCATTCAGATCCACCCAACTTGCTAGCCTGTCTAGGTCTACCTGTATCTACGGCCTGTCTTTAAGTGTGACCACAGTCCCCCATAACTTGGTTTCATCCGCAAACTTGGTCAGAGAGCTCTTCACCCTCATTTTCAAATCATTGATAAAGATGTTGAAAAGAACTGGACCAAGCACCAACTCCTGTGGGACACCACTGACTACTTC